ATGGGGTTTCATATTGGGAGGTGCATATATGTTTAGTAAATTCATATCAAAACATGAACTAAATGAATTTATCTCCATTGCTCTTTAAAACTTAGAAGAAAGATTATAGAGTAAAAGTTAAAAAGAATAGCGAAGCATTTATTAATCATAATAAGGCAGGATTTAAATTTTTTGGTATTTTATTTTCAACAGATGCTCGATCCCAATATGAATAAGGTTGACCAACATGTTGCCTACCTGACTTTTTGTGATATAAAATTGGTGCAAGAATTGAAAACCCCTGATAATTCAGGATGACTGACTGAATCTGGGAATTATATCAGTAGCAATGAGATAACTCCTCTAACAGCTGTCCTGCTGGTTTTTCTCTCAGGATAAATCAATCACCAAAGAAAAAGAAAACACCTGATGTCTTATCTTTTTACTCAGAATTTACTTGCTTTGTTTCATTAGCTGCTGCCAAAAAGGGAGGATAATTACCCACATTCCTCACATTTCAGCTTATTATATTTTCCCATGGGAGAAAAGAAAGAGTAAGATGGGACTTATTCCTTTTGGAGACAGGCATATCATGTCCAATAGCATCAAGTTGCAAACTTATTAAGAATTCTTCGTTTGTGATAGCATCCCCTAGATACGAATTGGATCAAGGTCACAATTTCATATCAAAGTTAAAAATTATAATCCAAACACCTGTTTAAATAAAACAATGTTCACACCTGTGAAAGGTTGGTTGGTGGCATACCAGGCATAGTATACCAGGCGTTCCACATCACCAAGGTCATTACAGAGTAGAATTCCCTTTGGGTCCATGCCTTTTTGGCTTCTTATATGGCTGAGTTGTGAAGTCACTTGCCTCCCACTCAGTAGGTTGAGAGTTTAATCCTTGGTAGTAGCAGATGTTTCTCTCCTAGGGCACAAAGAAAAAATATCTGCTGCAAACTCCATGTAGGTGTCAGGAAGGGCATCTGGCCAGCAAATGCACAGCCGCATCCAGTTGCCCCGGCTCTACCTCAAATTAAGGGACTATAGGGTTTTTAAAAAATAGGATAAGGATTCTAAACATCCTCTCCCTACACTTTTGTAGGCCAGAGAAATATTTCTTGGTAGATAGTTGTTAAGGTGTTCTGAAGCTAAGCCATAGATAGCTTTATGTGGATTCAGAAATTGTTGGTAATCAAGATAATCAAGAATCAATGTAACATTGCAGTTGCAGCTCTTTCCTGTTCACATCCTGGCCGCTGAATTTTGTACAACTTCAATTTTAGATCACTTTCAGAGGCATCCCCATGTTACAGTTCTTTAAGTGCATGGTGAGGAGGGAATGAATCTGCCATCAGGTCACATCCCATGGTGATACATTTAATTTAGCTTTATTTACTAAAGGAAATTACAGTGAGATGGGCAGCAAACAATTTAATAAATAAATGTTTCAAGTTTCTATCCCTCAAAATAAGCTCTTAATTTATCACCAGTTAATTTGGTCAAAAGAATGTTCTTCAGGTAAAAGGTTCTGCAAGTATATATGTATCAGTATTTGAGAGATCTTTAAAATTGTACAATTTGTATTAACTTATTAAATTTATATACTGCCCATCTCATTCTGCAAAGTGACTGCTAGCCAANAATGTTTCAAGTTTCTATCCCTCAAAATAAGCTCTTAATTTATCACCAGTTAATTTGGTCAAAAGAATGTTCTTCAGGTAAAAGGTTCTGCAAGTATATATGTATCAGTATTTGAGAGATCTTTAAAATTGTACAATTTGTATTAACTTATTAAATTTATATACTGCCCATCTCATTCTGCAAAGTGACTGCTAGCCAATTAATTTGCAATTTACTTTGAAGGTTTCCAATAACCAGTTCAGGTCAATCAGTTGTTTTCACTTTAAAAATGCTATGTACTACTGGTGTATTATAATAATAGAATAAAATAATATAAAGGGAGAAAAAAGATTGCACTAGTCACTAGTGTATGAGAAAAAATAGCTAGGGTTGTCTTGGTGCTAAAGTGGACATGTGATATGTTACCTGTTTAACAAATAACTTTAAGAGAAATCTAATTGAGAAAACAAATTAAAGGACAAAAATCTAATTGAGAAAACAAATTAAAGGACAAAAATCTTTGGTTTATTTGTTTCCATTTCCATAAGCTGAGTCTCTAGCAAAGAATGATCCTTGTGTAAAAACTAATGTAAGTTTTGATAAATTATTTTGTTAATGGTAAAAGTGTAGGCAAATAAACGTGAGACATTGGGGGGCGGAATTTTGCTGTTCTGAATCTGCACAAGGCTGAAAGAGATTAAAGTAGTACTTGCTTATACAGAATTGTATAGAGGTCCTTTTCTTTAGTCAGCCATACTTATACTTCCAGCAAATATGGCCTCAAGGTTAATGTTCCCTTATATAGTTTTATGTACAATAAATGAAGGCAAAAAATGAAATAATAGATTTCTTAAATAAAAAGATATCAATATGAAGATAGGACATTGTTAAGATACTTTATTACTGGTTTGCTTAGGATATTGGGGGAAATTGTAATTACAGATGTTAGGCTTTCCAAGAATAATAGGAATGGCCTAATTTAAATTCCATGGAATAAAAGTGAATCTACAAGAAAACATTAGAAAATCTAAATTATTTCTTTTCGTTATTAATAGAGGTAAAAGCATCAGAAAAGTTCAAAATTGCTGATAAATGCAGTTGTCTAGACAGTTGTGGACTTTAGTATTTCCTAATCATTATGGGAAAGTTCATATAGCATGAATTGAATATAGAACTGGAGATCAGACAGCTTAACTGTGCTTCAGACAATGGATCCTCTTTTTGTTCTACCAATCTTTCTGTTTCTTTTTATCCTGAGTGCAATAGACGTGAAAGCTTCTGTTGCCAGCAGTGTTTATAGAATTAGCCTCTAACCTTTGATTCAGACTTGACAACAGATTAGAGCTGTTAATTCTGCAGGTGCATTTTCTGTGATGTTTGGGATGCATGGGTCTGATTTGAAGTTAAACATTAGGACAGGATATTGCAGGATTCAGCTTGCTCTTGGAGTGCGCAAACGGCAGTTTTTTATCCTTCTCAGGAGAAAGTTTTCTGTATTTACTGTACTCTTACAATAAATCAGTTTTTAAATTCAGAAATTATATTTGGAAGTTGATTGATAACAGAACTGAGTTAAATCCCTCTGATGAGTTTTATTCTCCCTCTTTCCAGTATTTTCTACTATGTTATACTGTGGTCTTCTATGAAGTATTTTTATAATAGTACACTTTGCAATTATGGACATATCCAAGGGCATTTCCTAATACTGCTTGACAGAACTTGGATAGATTAGCTGTAGTCAAACAATATTCTCAATTTAGTTACTAAATTGACCTATTATTTAGCTTCACTGAATGCACTGATTGGACAACTGACCAAACAAACTGGATTTATATAAAGCATAAAAAAATTAACCAAGTGTAACACTAACCATACTTATGCAAATGCCTCAACTGGATCTTTACCTGACCAAGTTGGGTAAACTATGAACACAGCCAATGTGTGAATCTGTTTTTGAAGTTTTGTTGCATTATTACTTCACTTATTGAATATCTGAGTTAATCTTTTGATCCTAGAAGATTTGGACATGGACAATATGAAACAAGACAGAACTTCATGCTATAGATTTATGCAGCCTTTGGTTGGAATGTATCATAGCAACTTCTTGTCTCATCCATAATACACATGTGCACATAAGGTATAATGCTAGAAAAAAACATGCCATATACTGCAGAAATAATCCAAAAGAAACATTAGTACTATTCACAGTTAATAAAGTAATGTAATTATATAGGATCCCCAATCCATCCATGGTTTAACCACCTATCTCAAAAGCAGCTAATTATATCAACTCATTGATCTCTCAGTTTCAACAAAAGTTTTTCCTCAGAGCCAAATACAATAGTTTGCCTTCAGTACTTTTATATACTGTGTTTCCCCAAAAGTTAGACCTAGCCCAATAGTAGGCCCTAACTTGATTTTGGGGGGTGGGCCCAATATAAGCCCTACTCCAAAACTAAGCCCTAGTTTTGGGATGAGGCGCACCCCTAAAAATCAAGCTAGGGTGGGGGTAGGGGTGGTGAAGCTGCCCCACGCGCCCCACACCTGCTTACCTTACTGGTAGGACCATCACAGCCAGGCCTCCCACACCCTGACACCTGTCACACCGTTACTTCTGCGGCCACTTGCCACTTGTGGCTGGCCGCCATGTAGTGCATTACGCTGGTACTACTCCTGGCAGGACACTGTTGCTCCTCCCGGTAGGACGCCGTTGCCACTCCTCCCGGCAGGACGCCACATGGTGCTTTGCGCTGTTTCTGCTGCTCGCGGCAGGAGGCCACATGGCACTTCAGGCCGTTTCCGCTGCCCAAAGAGCCACGCAGCTTCCTGCCATGAGCAGCAGAAATGGCGCAAAGCACCATGCGGCATCCTGCCGGGAGGAGCGGCAATGGCGCAATGCGCCACAAGGTGTCCAGCCGCAAGTTGCGGCAAGCAGCCGCAGAAGAAGTCAAGCAGCGGCGCGACAGGTGTCGAGGTGTGGGAGGCCTGGCTGTGGTGGTCCTAAAGTAAGACATTCTCCAAAATTAAGACCTAGTGCCTCTTTTGGAGGCAAAAAAAATATAAGACCGGCTCTTAATTTTGGGAAAACACGGTAACACAGTAATGAAATTCCTACAGCTAGTCAAACATACCCTTGTAATGATGGTTCGGTTAGATCCATACTCCTTGTGCTGCTATATTGATAATTTTACAAAGATATCCAAAGAAGGCTTATTCGTCTAGGAAATTTTATGTTAATTTAGAGAAGCCTTTTTATGCATAATACAGCGAAGTTCTGTTTAGCAGTTGTGAATGTCTAGAGGCAACCAGACATATGAGCAATATCTATTCCATTAATCTTCAGTTTTGTATGAATAAATTACTAGCTGTAACTAATTATCTATATTTTAGATTATTAGACTTTGTACAGTATACCTTATTTTTATATTGTTAATTTGCTATCCCATAGATTCAACACCTAGCTTTGCACTTCATCTACAATTAATTTTGTGATTCCCCATCTGTTTTTTTTCTTCTTCTGTTCAATGGTGTTCAGATCTTGGAGACTGTCTGGACAAGCTCCTGCAGTCTTCTTGCCAAGGTTTTTCAGAAGTGATTTGCCATTGCCTCCTTCCTAGGGCTGAGAGAAAGTGACTGGCCCAAAGTCACCCATCTGGCTTTTGTTCTAAGGCAGGACCAAAACTCACAGTCCCCGGTTTCTGGCACCTTAACCACTATATCAAACTGGCTCTCATCTGGTTCTTAAATAGTTTTAATTGTATCTTAGTCTTAATAGAGCGCAATTCTGCATTATTTTATTTATACTTAAGTATGCCATTTCTTTATAGTTGTACCTTTTTCTGCCTTGTTTCAAGCTGGTTGTTGACTGAAATAAAATTATCTATTTGCAATGATACATGGCTTTCCATATGAATTGAACTTTGCTTATTAGATATCATATCTCTATGAATACTTTACACATTTGATATTTGATTTCTATACTGGTACTATACTGTAATGTACTGTACACATTATACCTTAGAATTGTATAGAACTATAGAATATCTATTAGAAATGTATTTAATGTACTTAACAATATTTAAGTATTCACTACTTTAAAAAAAAATCAATTCCCTTCTTAAACAGAGAAGCAGGAATTCTTATTAAAACATTGTGGAGCGCTTGCTTTTTTGCACATTCTCATTGGCCAGCTGGATGGAGCCCTAGCTGGCAATGTAGACGGAATATCTCAGCACAGGCTTCACTCACTCGGTGGCGTAAAGCTACTATAGAGAGTAAGAAGGGTGAGACTGGTAGTTGTGTAGAAATATATTTAGGGCCATAAAGGTGGTACTTACGAATATATGTTTTTCCATTAATGCATAAATGTGTTTGGCATGTTAAAAATAAAATAGGGAAAACAAATATCTCTGACTAAATTTTGATATTAAGATTATTTTGCATTTTTAATTGGAATCATTCCCTGATTTACTCTTTTTTTTGGCCATTATTGCCCATGGATTGCAGTTTCTGTAGTTTAGTAAATTTTGTAGGAAGTGTCATGTGATCATTGAAGAAAACAGTTATTAATAACATTGTTAATTATTCGTAAGATAATGAAATGTGCTGTTAAGGCAAGTATGTCTATTAAGGCCTAAAAATGCTGATGCAATAAAGCACTCTGCCCTGTTAATGATGAACTAATGCTAAATCCTAAAACAGGAATTATTTTATATCAATGTGCAAACAATTAAGATTATAAACTATTGTCAACTCCTAATTTTTGTATTTTTTTTCCAGAAATTTGTTTCCATCAAATCTCATTGTTGCAGCCTTTCGATCGGTAATTATCTGTGCATCTATTTAAAAATTTGTTCTGGAATTTTGAGATTTCAATCAAAAAGAGTTTGATTTTCTATAATGCAGGATATAGCAAAATCTAGGTAGTACAAAAATGTATTTTACAAGAGTCAATCTATACACAATTATAAGAGTATCTAAACCAATACTTGCTATTATGGAGATCTTACCAGTTTGGATGATTAGGAAATTCAAAATATTGAACAAGGGTAATGGAAGAATTTCTCACTGTTTGCAATTTGTTGCTTGAATCCTTGATACTCAAGCAATTTCATGCCTTTCAAAGTCTTCCCTCTGCGTTCTATAAAACTGGGAGGCAATAAAGCATAGAAGGTGTTTACCAAAATAAGAACCCTTAATTTGGAATTGTAAAGTATAAACAAGCTCAGAAAAAATGACCTCTTGCTGCCAGTTCACATCCTTTTTATTGTTTGATTTAAATTCCCTGACATTTTTGAAACAGAATCTTAATGATTAGATCTTAATCCCACTAATAAAAGTGCCATCTATTTACCCTATTCCTCCACTGTTTAAGATTGAGTTTCTCTTTCTCCCTCTGTAAATTGTTCACATTTCCTTGCGTCATGCAGGTGGTGGTGTTCCCAAATGACAAGAGTTCTTAGACACTCGCTCTTCCGACCAGAAGGATTTCTAGATCATAGTCTCACAAGCTAAATATTAGCTTTTTGAAGTATCTGCTTTATAAAATTTGCTGAAATTTATTTTAGAAAATAAAATCTAATCCTATAATAAGCTACAGTCCTTTGTATTAAATATATATTTTACTAAGTTGGAATCTAACAAGCCTAAATATATGTTACTCTGTTCACTGGCAGCTACAAACTGTTAGAAGTGCTGCAATCTTCTTATGGAATTTCACATTTAATCTGCAAGTTAACTAGCACTTGACTCTCAGCTGATCTGATTCCATTTTTAGTAATAGGAAATCCTTGTGTTCTGCGATTAGCTGTTTTAAAAACAAAATCAAGTATACAGTGTGGAGGAACTTTTGCTAGTGTTGCCCCATTTGGATGCAGTATTCTTTTACTACCTGTTCTTTTGTTCCTAGCTTAGTCTGGTGATGCAAAGAGACAGCTCCTGATGACTGAATGTTTTTACTCCTTCGTCCTACCAAAATGCTTCAGATATGCAGGAAGCCTTTAACAGATTTTTCATGCATAAGCAACATCATTCTATATTTTTAAAAAAATGACCAAATTGGATCTATAACTTTATCAATGATGTTGTAGTTCTCAATGTTTCACATAAAAGAAATCTAGAAATAGATTTTACAAGACCTATATATTTGTTTAAAAGTCTACCACAACTATTAATAAAACCAATGTTTTCCATTTCAGTATGCTACTGATTATAAAGCCATAGTTAGAAATTCAACCATTGGCAATGTTACCATTGAAAAGGTAAGTAATTATTTTTTTTAAAGTTATGTTATTGTTTAGTATGCATGCTTTTGAGTTAATCCTTTGAATCATTACAATTATTATTTAACCGGATTCACTTTTTTGTTCAAAATTAACATCTTACTCCTTTCAATGACTATGCCCAGGATTGTACCTCAGGGAATCTTGAAAAGCATCCCTGGGGGGAGGGGGGGGAATAAGCACAGAAGAAAACTGTCCAGGCAATAGGAATGGGCAACATATGACCCTCCAAATATTAGTGTACTTCAGTTCCTATCAGCACCGACTAATAAAGCCGGTGGTTAGAGATTATGGGAGTTGTAGCCCCACATTGAGAAGACAGCACTTTGCCAAGCATGTCCTAGACTTTAAAAGAAAATGTTTATTCTTGAGTATAGCAAGAGCAGCTTTCTAGTGATATGTACGTAATCAAAATATTATTTTTCATCAACAGTACGTTGTTGATTATAGAGAAATAATAAATGCCTCCCTTGGGAATGCCACTATTGAAAAGGTAAGGAAAGGATTATTTTATGAAATATTTTTGTTGGTATATGCTTGCTTTAGGATTAGGCTTTTGTTCCAACTTCTAACTGTGAATGAAATAAAATAGCTATACTGACCCAGAGCGAAAACCAAAATCCACAACAGAAGCAGTGTTTCTATAGTATTGCTTTAGGATTATGTAACTCACATTATTTTAATTCCTTCAAGGAATATTAAGTAACGAAGACTAAAAACAGTAGGAAATAATTAATGAGGCAACCTCTGAATTGTGCTCATTCACACAATCTTGAGTCCTTGGATGCCTTCTTGTTCATTATATTACTATTATCCGAGTTTCCCCAAAAGTTAGACCTATCCCAAAAATAGCTTGATTTTGGGGGGTGGGCTTAATATAAGCCCTACCCCAGAAATAAGCTCTAGTTTTGGAGCAAGGCGCACGTCTAAAAATCAAGCTAGGGCAGGGGTGGAGTAAGTTCTGCACATTGTCAAAGCAAGAATATACAGTATTTGCAGCATTGACATGGAGCTTACCACTGCAGCTAGGCCTCCCACGGATCGATACTTGCCTCATCGGCCCACTTCTTCTATGGCTGAAGAAGCAGCTTCATTCTGCAGCTGAGAGTGGAGCTTGGGCCTGTATTTCGCAGCCAGAGGCCTTTCCGGAAGACCTGTGCAGCCGAGAACCAAGCTATGGATTCAATCTGTAGCTCAGTTCTCAGCTGCACAGGCCTTCCGGAAAGGCCTCTGATGGTGAAATGCAGGCCGGAGCTCCATTCTTAGCTGCAGAATGAAGCTGCTCCTTCCGCCACAGAAGAAGTGGGCCGGCTGAGTGGGGCTGTCGGTGCTGCCGCAGTAAGGTAAGTGGAAAAGACACACAAACACCTGAAAATACGACTTGGTGCCTCTTTTGGAGGCAAAAAATAAAAAATAAGTCTGGATCTTATTTTTGGGGAAATACGGTATATAGCCCACCTTGTCTCTTGTGCTCAAGGAAAGAAGAGTGCGACTACTAGGGTATACATCGTAGTCTCACTTCAATAAGAGTTGGCAAAATAAGCCCTCTGCTGGTAAAATCATACAAGTCTTCAGAGGCTTGTAGTTGCACAAAATCTCTCTGTTGTCTCCATTGACAGGAGGCTACCATAGTAAGGCATTTACCCTTTCTGCACCTGAAAACACACACAAAAAAACCTTACCAGCCTAGAACATACAGTTCTGCTTAGTGGCCAAATGTGGTCACCTCCGCTTGTGTTACTCTAGGAAACAAGAATTGCAATGGAGGGAAAATGTTACGGAAATCAAACAATCCAGATCAATGAATGTTTGGGTCAGAATCAGATAGGTTTGAAGGCAGAAACAAGGTCTCTTTTTCACTCCAGAGTCTCTCATTAACTTACAATTGCCAGCTGCCTCTTGCTTTCCTTGAGAGAAGCAGTATGAAGTGGTCTTCCTGCCAGTTCCATCAATGTGTATTTTCTTACTGGGAAAAGTATGCAGAAGGCTGAGCCACTCCAGCAGACAGAAGTTACCCTACACTTTCCCAACTCATGGAAGCTTTGAAAGAGTCATGCCAATTCATGTGTATTCTGTACTTTCCCCAGAATGGGAAGTATGCCACAGCTGAGGCAGGAAGCAACAACTTCTTGTTTCATCTTGCACAGAGCACCAGGAATCACTTGTGGAGAGTTCAGGCTTTCTTACTCATCCATTGCCCCAATACCTGACCAATGAGGACATCTGTGAAATTAGATCTACCTCCAGGTCATGATCTTGTTACCTATGCTTTCTCAATGGCCTTTGTAGCTCTAACTTAAGCAGCATGGTTCCCGCTTATTCACATTATTTTTTCAAACCATGCCTCCAAGAACCCCCACCAACAGCTTTTCTTACAAAATCTCAGAGTTAATAACTATGGAGCTGTGAGGGAATACATTAACTAGAACCCCCCCCCAACCTGTAGCACTACTATGAAACAATTGTTCTCTTTTTATTTTCTCTCATAAGAGTGCATTGTACCCTTTGGATGTTTAACAATGTGGAATTCTCTCATTTTGGCACCTAGCATTGTGCTGGTATGTGAAATTATCTGGGTAGCTTAGAAACGTAGCTTGATATTGCTAGGCTGCCCTTGAGTCCTGAATTGCTGTTGCCTGCTTGTGAACAGTTTTTCTTTCTAGTGCAGCGGTTCTCAACCTATGGGTTACGACCCCATTTGGGGTCGATCGACCATTTCACGGGGGTCGCCAAGCAAGGCTGTCCGCCATTTCCCCCCCCTTTTCTGGTGGGTGCCTTACCTCCCTTGGGCTGGGCTAGCTGGTGGTCGGCCTGCTCCGTCTCTGCCGCTTGCCAGCTACGCCTCGGCTGGCACAGGGGGCGGAACCACGCATGCGCGGCGCTCCCGGGCAGGGAAAGTCCTTGACTTACGACCAGTTGGGTAGTCCTCGACTTACGATCGGTTTAGTCCTTGACTTACGACCGGTTGGGGGTCGCGGCATTAAAAAGGTTGAGAACCACTGTTCTAGTGTATACAGTATACAGTATATTGGTTTGTAAAATCATCTCATTTGAATTTGTGGATACTCTGAACTTCAGAACAATGTCACTTTCAGTGATATTGAAGTCAGAAGTGGGGGATTAGTTCTAGTCCTGTCCACCTGACTGAGTGGCATAATCTGAGCCTTGTCTCCTGGTGTCATCGTTGAAGTAACAGGACCCTCTCCCATTTCTACTCTGGGAATCTCTATTTTTGCAAATTCTTGTTATTAATAACGTTAGGAACCAGATATTTTTATACCTTTGTTGGGAATATTATCTTATGTTTGTATAACATTGTACCACACCATAGCTTATTTTTATTTTACTAACATGGTAGGGAAATTCCTGGTTCTTTCCAGAATAGCACTTCGTTTGTTCCAGTACAGTCTAAGCAATCCTACAATCATAACAGGAACTAATGTCCATTAACTTCTGAACTAACTTCAGGATTTATAGGATCCCTTGACTTACCTTCTTAATAAACTATACAGGATAGCATTATAGATTATTCTAGATATGAGCAAGTGCTGACTTTCTGACTTTGTAGAGAGTCTTCCTCTAAATTACTGAAGGTTATGGTGTTGTCAACTATTTTCTGCAAGATGGGAGAGATGGGTCATTCCCTCAAGTCCTCTGGAGATAAAGAGCTCTTAACTGAAGAGCTTTACTCCTTTTCACATTAGTCATTACTAAAGACAGCCAGCCACAGTGAACAGTAAATGTTTGCATTCAAAGTCAGAGTGCTGCTAATCCAAACAACAATTCCTATTTTTTTCTGGGTTTGGGGAGAAAATGATCAAAAGGAATACCTTCTTATATGAACAGAAGAAGTGGAAACATCTTCAGTCCTCTGCATGATGTATAGGATCTGGGGAGTGGAGCTGAGGTCATGCTTGCAGGTGTCCCAAAATAATGTTTCTTCATATTTTATTATAACGTCAACATATTTCAATTAAAGCTCTTCAATTAACGCTGTATCTTCTTCACAAGTTTATTATTCTAAAGGCCTTTTGACCTTATTACTAACATCATTTGTTAATTATAGCTGAAAGACAGTACACTATATTTCTAAATTAAGTCCGTAAGTCTGAACAGGATCTCAATAGGAGGAATACTATATCATGGTTGAGCAAAACTAGAATCAGCTTGGAAGAACTGAAGTCTACCCTGATTATCTCATGCATTTGATTTCTCTTATGGCACACGAACAGTAGTTCCTTGTGGTACAAACATTGGAAGGGAAGCTCCAAGATATATTTCATTCAGTGATGTGACAATAACATAAATGTTATATACCAGGGGTGTCAAACTGTCGGCCTGTGGGCCGGCTGCCTCATATGGAGGCCATGCCCACTCCAGCTCCGGCAATGCAAAACAAGTTGCGATACGTCGCAACATGTCACATGACGCACCGAGTTTGACACCCATGTTATATACAGTAATACTTTGCCTTAGCTACTTGCTCTTTTCTCTTTTTTAAAATAGTCTTTTGACTATTTGGATAGCTCTATTGAATGCTATTCCTTCAATTCCCATTAACAAAATAATCAAACTATATATTTTATTCTTACAGTTAATTATCTCTTTTGACTTGGTAGACAATATAAATGTGGAGAGGAATGTGGAACAAAAATAATTCTCCCTTCCACTCCCAAACTGTATGGATTTTATATGTCTATTTAGCCATGATTTTGAATGTGTGTAAGGGGTGTATGTGTGTCAGTTCCCTTAGTTCAAATTTCCCAAACCTATCCTCAGTCAACAAACATACTGTAATATCTTTCTCTTGCACATAAAATGATGTGGAAATAATTATTTGCCTTTGTAGTCTGTGCGAAATATTTGAAGATAACTAGATGCTATCAAGGACCACTTTGAATAAACAAGTAATTTAGGTAAATGATATTTCCTCCTTACAAACCGCAAGATCAAATTGAAATGCTCGTATCTTAAAAATCTTACATTATAAGTACAAATTATGTACTAATCTTAAATACATAATGCTTTTAGCTCTATGTCAACATGGAAAATAATAATGAGGATCCAACATCTTCATTCTGAAGACTCTTATGAAAATTATCTCTTCTGTCAAAAGATTACATCTGCGTTCAGAGAAGAGTTTATGTCTAGTGGGTTTCTCTTTTATCATATTCTGGGTGCTGCTTCCATTCATTTGTTAACTACAATTAATATCAAAAGGGAGATCTAGCTTCATATAATTGGCACACCACATTTAAAACACTTAACCATCTGACTATATGTATCTCATTCACAGTTCCCTGTTGGCACTGAAATTGAAGGAATGAATATTCTGGGGCTTGTACTCTTTGCTCTGGTTTTGGGAGTAGCTTTGAAAAAACTTGGACCTGAAGGAGAAGAACTCATTCGTTTCTTTAATTCTTTCAATGAGGCAACCATGGTCTTAGTATCTTGGATTATGTGGTGAGTATTGATAATACTACTGCAATCTGAAAAACTTCCCAGTGTTGGGCCAGTTTCAAATACAATTTACTATATAAACTACCTTCTCTTCAACTCTAAAGTCTGTATTAAAGGGTCTTCATAATCTGTAGTATCTAATTTGAGAGGGACAATTACCAGCTTACTCACTGTGTAGCAGAATCTAAAGTCAAATAAAAGGTGGTATATGTACAATAAGTTAAGGAGAAATGTTCAGCGTGTTTATTATGTACCTCCCTTTATCAGGCATGGAGTATGAACCACTAATTTGGTACTTGGGAGGAGCAGTATATTAAATACTATGCAATCAAATATCAGGTAGGCCTTTTTTTGTGGGGAAAGTCTATAGCTTCTCTAGCTTATCTGAAACTAAATTCTTCATTGAAAAAGATGCTCAGACACGCAGTAGAGATCTCTGCTGGTTGCATTACATTTTACAGGGAGCATAAATATTCAATTATTAAAAACCCAGTTCATATATTCAATAGTTGGATTTCATTTGCACCCCCATTGGTTATTTGGCTGTATTATTAATCTGTTTCCATATCTTTTGGATTTTAATTGTGCAAGCCTAAACATGCTTATTCAACATTTTTACTGTATTCAATAGCATTTGCTTCTTAACAAAGGCATTTAGAATTACCCATTTATTGTTTATATAATGTGTACAACATTATTGTCATGGAATTTTACAGAATTACCAGTTGTGCATCAAACTGTTGTTTCTAGGAAGGACATATACCCTGCTCTGCTGAATCAGCTAATTCTAACTTCCTTCTGCCAGTGTGACATGGAAAGTTGATATAGAAAAATGAGCTGCTTAAATCAATTAACCGCCCCCCCTCCCTTGATATATATATATTGACTTAAGAGGGTTGTAGATAGGTTATTGACCGGTCAAGGCCTGGATTTCTCTCATGTCCCTTGTGCAACTGACCTGAATATTTAGCACACGGCAGCTTTTTCTTCTCTGATTCAGCTCTGAAAAGGCCAGCTGATAGGTGGGACTTGCAGTTAATCATACAAAATCTCTACAGAATGAAAGGGTCATGGAAGCTGAAATTGTGCAAGAAGGTACCCTTGGGACTCTGGCAAATTCATTCCTCTTCATATCATATGCCATTTTCAGAGAGACCTTCAGGTGTTGCTTTGTAAAAAGAAGTTTTCTGTTTTCCTGAGCAGGAAATGAAAGTGGTAGCCAGACCCTTAACTGAAATGTTTTTAGTCAGATCTTCTATGGCCATTGCCATATAGATACCCATTTTTTTCTTTAAAATTGGTTGGGCACTTTGGAAGATTTTTAATTAGCCACCTTTCTTTTATTTTTTATTCTAACCACTTAAGATTTGTGACATTGGCTTGGCATTGAGAGCATTTGCACAGTTTTTGAAATTGCTTTAAGAGTCTGTGTTAGTAAAAATGGAAGACTTTGGAAAACTGTGCAAGCAATGGCTTTCAATGCAATCAGCCATAGTATCTTACTGGTTGGCCTACAAGAATTTGAGACTGTAGGCTCTTTTTTGCAGTGATTCTGCTCCTTCAGTCAATTGTGGGGTGTGCCAGATTGGCCCAATGGCATCTCATATGTGGAGTGCCACAGAAGTGATTTTTTTGGCATTTGGTGTGTGATATAATCAATATGTTGATGATATACCAACTTTACATTGTCACTTCAGGGGCATAGGAAGATGATGTTGACATTGTATGTTGACATCCAAATGTCTGGAGACTAAGAATCTGGATGGGAGAGAACAGACTAAGCAGCTAAACAGCTGAACTCAAATGAGTTTGCTGTTTGTACGTTAGGGTTATCTGTCAGGTACCAGTGTTGTCTCTGAATGGCCAGATCCATTATTTGGGCGCTCTTCTACACTCATGGCTTCTTCTAGAACAGCAACCATGCTTTTCATTGCCACTCAATTGGTTGTCATTCAAGCCACCATCACTTCACTGCACAAATTCCTCAGACCAAGAACCAGAAGTCAGGCAATTGTGGTCCTTTTTTTGCCCCAGGAAACCTCCATGATATAGATGTTAAATTTCCATCTCTCACATGCTTCTGTCCTTCCATACTCAAAAGCAACTTCTGTCCACTCAACAAAATCTAGTTTGGACCAAATTAATCTACTGTTTCTTCAGCTTACATACGTTCAGCCCCAAAGTGGTAAAACCGAGTCTTCTGATTTGATCATTTTGAACCCCATTCATTTCTCTGCTCATCCTAACATATTACTTAAACCATTATTTATGAAAATAGCCCTCATTCACACCATCATCCTTTGAATATGAAATACATGTTGTGTTCACTGCAGATTCTTTAATCAATCTAATTGGTTTTCTGAAGGATACTAGCAAATGTGCAGATGAATGTCCCACAAAAGAAAAAGAGATAAAGATTCAATTTACTGCAGGAAATTTTATACGACAGTGTGATGCTTATTCTTTATTGAGGCCCATAGTGCGGGTTTCAGAAATCACTGACTTTTTCATTTTCATTTTGTCAAAAATTAGAACGTTATTTAGCATTCAGTGTAACATTCAGTGCTTCCTTTTCAGGTATGTACCACTCGGCATTATGTTTCTAGTTGGAAGCAAGATTGTGGAAATGGATAATATTATCCTGCTGGTGACAAGCCTTGGAAAATACATCTTTGCATCAATTCTTGGCCATATTATTCATGGAGGGATTATTTTACCGCTTATTTATTTTGCAGTTACACGCAAAAACCCTTTCACTTTTCTGTTAGGTCTTATAACTCCTTTCACCACAGCGTTTGCTACTTGTTCCAGGTTGGTAGATTTTTGCTTCTATTTCTGAAATGAGGACAACATTGTTTGAATTTAGAGTAATATTGTAACTCGATGGCTTTTCTTGTAAAACAAGGGACTCTACGTTTACTAAAATGCAAAGCAGACTTTCAGAATGGGGTGTAGATAATCTATGTCTCTATATGGTAAAATATGGCTCGATGGCAAAGGTTTTAATGGCTATATTATTGTGTCTTATAGGGTGGGGAGAGAGACAATTTGAGAATACTAAGGTGCTTGACTGTAAAAATGTTTCTTTAAACCAGACATAATAGAACTTGAAATGGATATAATAATAAAAATGTAGAATAAAACTCCCTTTTTATTTTTTCTCATAAGATTCAGGCATTTGTTTTGGAAATGAATAAAGTAGAATCTTTTGTCCTAATTTTCAGGAACAGCACGTATCTGGAATGTTACATTATCTATTTAGGCTGACAGACAAATACTTACATTTTGGGCTGCAGGAACATTGCTGGACTTGATGTTCTTGTGCTTCTTCCTTGATCACATCTAGCTCTGCAACTCTTCCATCAATGATCAAATGCATTGAAGATAACAACAAAGTAGACAAAAGAATTAGTAGATTTATTCTGCCTATTGGAGCTACTGTGAATATGGATGGAGCTGCTATTTTCCAGTGTGTAGCTGCTGTCTTCATTGCTCAACTGAACAACGTTGACCTCAATATTGGACAGATCTTTACCATTCTGTAAGTGATAGTATCAGCTGCTCTGGTGCATCAGAAAAATCAGAGAAACAATTTGACTCTTTCTAGCCTGCCACATTGCATTTTGGTTGAAGCATTATTTACAAATCATGTCCTTCAGGGATATGCCGAAAAGAGTTGCACTTTTCTCCTTTGAAGGAAATTATAGTTTATTGTGATGTAAAGAATAAGAACCTAAAGGGATATTTGGCTTGACAGTGCTGTGGATTGCAATGCAAAAGGAAACAGCGACTAGATATGTCATTAAGTCACTTCTGAATATGATGCATTTTAGTAATTTAGATCAGTTGCATGCCCAAATGGGAAACTTTATGCAACCACAATTGAACTGATTTGCATGATGTACAATGGCAAGTTGGAGTTGCTTTGGAAAACAGCCTATCTCCAATGTGTGGCATCAGTAATACAGAATGAAAGAAAGTTCCCTGAGTACAGAAGAATAAACTTTTGCATGTGTTTCTGTGTTATTTTAATGCATATATGAAATTTCAGCATAGCCAAAAATAATTTTATTGACAGGGTTACTGCCACTGCTTCCAGCGTGGGGGCTGCTGGAATCCCAGCTGGAGGAGTTCTAACCATAGCTATTATCTTGGAGGCTATTGGACTTCCCACAAATGACATCTCTCTCATATTGGCTGTGGACTGGATTGTGTAAGTATACAAATGTGTGCACATTTGCTCTTGTATATGATGGTTCTCAAAGTATCAAGGATCTTAATAACTTTTTGTGGGGGCAACCTTTAAAAAGTGCTTTCACCAATAAGAAAGCAGTAGCAACATGCACAGCATAATTTGTTTATTGATGCTGAAGAGAGTAAGAAAGTCACTGCTCTACATTTTCAATTTGTATTTTTTTTCCCATTCTGATTATCACAAAAGCTCTCTGAAGTTGAGAGGGGGCTAACCAGAGGAAATCAACTATTAAAAACCATGTATCTCATGAAAAAAGAATTACTTCCTTTTTCTTGGAGAGAAAAGATTTTGCAGTGGTTTTTTTTTGGGGGGGGGGGGTTAGTAGCACGAGGTGAAAGAGACACTGCATTTTGAGGCACAATTATTTACATTTCTAAGGAATGTTGATGTTCCTCATATATCAGGAAAAGGATTAACAGAATTATGGTAAACAAGAAGAGTTTTGCTCCAAGCAGATTTTTGAAACATCAAAACTTCTCAAGGAGGATGTGGTATTTGTTTAGGTTCTTTTTCCTCAGAAGAATGGTAAAAAATCTTGGTGGGGTGTGTTTAAAATTGGAGTTAGGGGCTAAAAAAGAGTTGCCTTTGGTCTAGTCCCCAATTTTACATTCAAGTTCTCCAGCCAAACAAAACACCCACCTTGCTGGCCAGCAAAAATGACTGACTGATAAATACAGGATGATACTACATTCTCCAGGTTGAGCTTCTGATCGTAATTTTGCTTATGGAGAATAGGGCAGAGGTATCTGCTTTTTAAAAAGCATCTTTGCTTGCTGTGCTTTTTGATGTCTTTAGACTTGAACACAGATCACTGTTAATATAGAGGGTAGCAAATCACACTTCTCAAACTTGTCGCTTTTAAAGATAGGCTGAGTCTCTGAAAATGTTTAAAGATGCATTTCATCAACACCAATGAAAACTTTTCCATGTTTTCCGTATTGATCAGGGACCGGACCACAACAGTTGTGAACGTAGAAGGTGATGCCTTTGGAGCAGGTATTCTTGATTTTCTGAATCCAAAAGAAACGAAGGAGAAACACACAGAACTTAGTGATGTCCATGTGGATGCCATTCCAAACACCAAGGCTGATGGGGAAACATCACCTCTGGTAACACACAATGTTCAAGCTATCACCCCTCCATCACCTAGTTCTCAAGATCCAGCATCTAATGAATCAGCCCTATGAATGTAAAAGAGGGCACCTTATGGGCACTGTAATTTAGATAGTACTTTTTGAATAGAGTCTGTATGGCCCCCTGAGTTTAAGCAGGTATGTCCTCTTCCATTCCGATGGCACAGAACATAGTGGTAGCTAACCACAGAGTACAAAATATGTGCAAGCTTCTGTAAGTGTGTGTGTGTATTTGAGAGAGAGAGACAAAAATGAAAACTTTTGTTGGTATAAAAAGTGCTGCTTCATCCTTATGTGTATGTGAGGAATACATGCAAGACAAATGTAGTGATTGAATGAAATAAAATTAATAGCCCACTTTAAAAGGTAGACTGTTAAATTTCAGAGATTTGGGGAATGTCTTGTTAATTGAAGTTATACAGGAAAAGAAACAAGAGTTTCTTGTAATTTTACTGCATCAAGCCTGCATGATTGTGTTTGAAAGGTATTAAGGGATCAGTTTATTTTGATTTATAGCCATAGTTTGTCAGACCTAACCAAATTATTGCTCTTTGTTCTTGTCTGATAAATCAGAGAAGCAAACCCTTTTGAAGGAGAATAGAATTGAACTAATATGTTATCAGATATATATATAGCTAATGGCCACCTGTCCAGATTAGCCTAAAAAGGACCATTTTTATTGCTTTCTTCCTGAATTAAACAAAGCACCTGTATGTTGAACCTTACTGGACCAAAAAAGAAAGAGCAAGAAGTTGCCTTTCTCTTCAAAGGTTGGGTTGTAACATCCATGATTGTTTCTTATATAGGAAGCTTAAATTGTTTTTGAGACACTCTCAGCAATTTATATTAATGCTTTAATTGTTCCTGGGAAGAACTATGAATGAATGGCCAGGATGAATATGTACTACTACTGCTACAAAGCAGGCATTGATTTAAGTATCCTAGTTTGATGTCATGTCTGCTGCTGGTGCTGCAAGAAAGTATCTTCTGGATCAACATATTGTATGGCTTATGGCTTTTAAATGTTTTTTGCTTAGAACTGCCCAAATTGGGACACTCCATTGGCAATGGAAGGCTGACTAGAATTTTCAGATTGGTAGGCCCAACACACCTAGTGAACATTATATCTAGAGTGATGCTTTAGAGCATCCATAACCAGACCTAAAAACAAGTTGTATATAAAAAGGACAGGCTGCATCTGATATGGTAGTATGCTGCCTATTTCCCCAAGACCAATAAATACATGAAGTGTATCAATTTCTGAACAGATTAATTCCATGTTTATTTAGTAACTGGTGACATAATGACCAATAAAATTTATTCTCAATTCATAACAAAATCATACTGAAAATATGGGTGGAAAACAAATGTAGAACATTCAGTTTTAAGCTTCAAAAAAATCTACATAAAAGTACATTTAAATTGGTGCTTAAATGTGTCCTGGTAATAATCACGAAGCTTCATTTGTTGCTTTTTCCCTCACTCCACTATTGTTTTCAAGAGGATATGTGTTGACAAGTAATCACACAATTCTGGCTTTAATTCTCCTTGCATAAGAAATACTATTCAGACATTTTTCTGGCTTTCAGAAATTCAATTCCATTATTTAAATTTGCTTGAAATCCTACCTGTCCTTGCCCCAGTATGAAGATCTTTTTCAAAAGGATATAATAAGTTATAATTCTCCCCCCCCCCCTCAAAATTAACCTTAAAATCCTGGGGCAGGAAACGACAACTTACCTGTTGCCTCCCAGGTGGGCCACAAATTCAGTTCCCAGAATTCTTAGCATGTTATGCCATTTGCCCTAATTAGCCATTTCCAACCTAGTGAACCCCAAATTGAGCATATACAATAAAATAAGTGGGATTAATCTGAATTCAAAAGAAATGGAGTCAGATTTTAATCATGAGTACCTTTGGTTGAAAGGCAAGGTATGGTTTTGATAAATATTTACCTTACCAGAAACAACTTTCATCCTTATAAATTATAAAAGAACTTTATGTAACTATAAAGGAAGCCTTTAGAATGGGTTACATGTTTAGCCCACTCTACCCATTCTTATTTCATTCTTAGGTGTGGGCACATAATAAACATTACTGTGTGGTATCTTTTTCTGTGTTAACAAGACAAACACATTGTGAAACATTCTTACCAATTGATGTAGCAAATGGATCCCTGCTGTGACAGGAATCACTATCCTTTTGGCAGGCCAGTCAGTTAAACCTGACCTGTTTGTGTTGCTGCCAGTCAGAATGTCAGGCCCTCTTGCAACAGAGTCATAATCTAGATAATCCTATAACATTTCAGTTAGATAATCATTAAGTCATAAGATTGCACCTATCTTTGTTCCAGTTGCTGAGCGAACATTTTCAGAAAAAAGGCGTTCTCACAAAAGAGAAGCTTTGAGCTGGCTGACTAGATTGACTTTTAGTGATAGAAAAGCACTTAGATTTCTTTACACCAGTGTTTTTCACATTTGGGAACTTTAAGAGGTGTGGACTCCCAACTCCCAGAATTCCTCAGCCAGCTGGCTAGGGAGTTCTGGGACTTGAAATCCACACTCCTTAAAGTTCCCAAATGTGAAAAACACTGCTTTAGAGGATTTGTTCATAGAGAAAGAAAATATTCCCTTTTATTCTGGCATCGTTTTGTGTCTTGTTTTGAAATTTGTGAATTATATTCCATCTTGCCCACTTGCATAGGTATGCAGGAAATAATCAGCACGTAGAATACTGATTTGCTTCCTAGAACACTTTGAACAGAAGTAACAGTGTTTTTTGCAGGATTTCAAAATCAGTAAAGTCAACTATGGATCTTGAACCTCCCAGCTTTTACTTTTATTGGATGACCCCAGGTTTTTCGTTTCTGTGAGACAAGTGAAATTTCTCCCTGTTCCCTTGTTCCACAATGGAATAGTTTTGTACTATACATTATTATTACTTTAAATTAGAGACATCAGGAATTTACCCCCTAGGGCTTTGTGTGTGTAAAACATGCTACACTATTGAGTTTTAATGCCTCCCTTATTGATTTCAGTGGCAAAGGATGCCAGCTATTTTGATTATTTAAGCTGCTCCTTCCTAATGTATCATATCAGCACCATACATTGCAGTATACAAATTCCAGTTTTTCAGGTGTCCATTGCAGTGTGTTATATTTCACTTTTCTCCATTTTTTCATTTTTTCTCATACCAATCAGATGAGTTTAAGCCATTAGAATGAAATTAATTTAATTTCATATCTAGTTTCATTAATTTCATGTCTAGATTAACCATTAAATAATGATGTATCTATCTATCAAGGGACTCGTGGGTTAATTTATGGATGGCCATACCACAATGAAAGGATGTAATTTTTTTCTTTATTCAGTAGATGCTGAGCTGATCAATTTTTTGTTTTTTAAAAAGTGGCAGACTATCATCTGGAAAATAACAAATCCTGATAAGAAAGACATCCTACTGGGTTCAGGGATCAGGAAAATGTGACAGAAAGAAACTTACATTAAACAATAGATTGGTAAAATAGTTTCCCCCTATTAGAATTCAAAATCAGTAATATTTCACATAAACAATAAAATTATAAAAGATACACAGCATTGCTTAGTAAATTGGGATGTTATAATTTAAATTCCTGCAGTTTAATTACAAAAGAAAATATCCCTTAATTCATGTAGAACAGAATTCAAACCACTGTTTTAAATTTTCTTTCTTATCCCTCTTGGGATATCCAACACCATAACCATACAGTCATAGAATTTCTTGAAAATACTTTTTCCTTCAAAACCATTGGAGTGCATTAGAACAGTTAGTCTCTTATTTGGATTTTGACTATAATTTGCATATCATTTTGAACATTCTGTAAATGCAATCTATACATAGTGTGTCAGCTGAAAAACCACTGCTACTTTGATTTTGGTATGAGGTTGTAAGTATAAACTGCAGTAGAAGCATTTTACTATTTTACTAATCTTTTGATCTGTTCAACTTAGACAATCCATACTGATTAACAGAAAAGTAAATAAAAGACAGAATTATTAGAATTAGGTATAAGTGTGTTTCCCAGTGGTGGTTTAGAAGAATTTTAGAAAAAAAAATAATCCTTGGATATGTTTCCATAGATTGCAAAATGGGTTATTTCATCACCCACACTTTTCTATTTTGATACACAAAATTATTGTTAGTAATCATAACAAAAAGTTTTTATATCGTGAAATACCTAAATTGGGACAAATTCTAAATAACAATATTTGTTACAGGTTTATATTCTAAATTTGTTTTTTGGGTTGGCTGAAAAAAAGATATTGCTCTAATTGGACTTTGTATTCAATCTTCATTGTGTTTATTCTCATGCAGCCATTCCCAGAATTTACACTGAACCATCAGTCAGTGTTCCCTTGCTGACCACTGAGTATGCCCCCACACACAAAAACCCTGTTTAAAAAATCCAGCTGCTACTCCAATATTAGATTCCCTCTGCCATCTTTTTCTTGTCCTGTAGTTGCTTGAGAACAAGGAGAGGAAAACTTTGGGTGGTGGGCCTAAGCTCCCTACCCTCTGGGTTCCATGGAAAATAAATTGGTGATTTGAGATTTTGGAGAGTTTAGCTAAAAGAATACTGTCTGAATTGTCGAAGAAAAATGTCATGGTGAAAACAAAGAACAAACAAACACAGTATTACTGTGGCAATGGTGCCAAAACTAGGTGCAGAAATGCTCTGATTACTCAGTATAACACTAGGGGAGATTACCTCACCTAAGGAATCATCAAACTGAATTATTTTTTTTTACAATGTTGAGAAGCTACTTTCTTATTTTTCTCAATGAGACGGCTGAATGTCAGCTTTTACTGAGATCTGAATAAAATTCTTATGATCAGATTGAACGGTTATCACATTAAATTGGTTAATATACTTCTAGCTTACCTTAATATTCAACACCAGCCCCTCCCCCGATTAATGAAATTTAGAGCGACTAAGCGGTCTGTTTATGAGGAGAAATATGGATCTGTATTTACAGTAACAATGAGCTTTTCTGATTAGGTTTCATTAATATGTA